AGTAGTGATTCTCAGTGCCCCCTACAAAAACATAGGGGACTCAGGGCTTGTGGTATCCTGACAATTAAATAAACTTTTTTTTTTTWAAATTTAGCCTCTCAAACTGRAAGGATGATGCCCACTAGTTTATAGACATTGTGAGGACCTTCAAATGTGCTTTTCATATGTCATGTATATTATTTCATGATGACACTGTCCCTTTATTTAATGAACGTACCACTACTGGGTAGAATTCCACAGAGTTCAGAATAATTCATTCTACTCCAATAATAAGATAAGCAAAATAATTAGGCATTTTTAAAATGGAAAGATGTARGTGAATCATTTAGGAAGTGAGAAGAACAGTAAGTTTTCTAGTGTTTTTGACKGAGCAATCAAATAAAGAATGTGACATTTAATTTGGTGGAAAATACTGAGGGCGCTATTGAGTTCGAAGGAATATCAAGTGTTGAATCTTAGATGTGTACCCATTGGAAGAGATGTTGAGTAGGCAAGGACGCATAAGCCTGGAATTTATGGGAGAAGCCAGAGTGGGAAATGTAAAGTGGGAATCCATCTGTCTATACGCAGCTTTGAAAGCCTGGGTCTGGAAGAAATCATTCAGCAAATGACGGAGAGGGAGTATACAAAAGAGGCATTGGGGCTGAACCCTGAAACCCTGCAATATTGGAGAATTGAGAAGATGCTGAGAACCTTGGTGAGCTAGGTTGCCAGGAGGAGATTGAACAAAGGGAATAGTAAAGAACTAGCCGCAGGAGGGGGTGATGCAGCAGTACTGAAGGAAGTGTTCAAGAAGGAGAAGGTTCTAGAAACTCTAYCAAAGCAGCTATGAGTTCAAGCAAAGAGTGAATGGAGAGTGGACTGTGGGAGACAGCAATGTGGGGAGGAGCAGCCCCTTCACAAGGACCCTTAGGGGTCGGATGGTGAGGGTGAAACTCCACTGATGGGGTTCAAGACGAACAAGAGAGACGTTGGAGAGAGATGATACTGGAAGTTTCATGGAAGTCTGGCAGAGAAAGGGGTAGTGAGCAGAGGAGCATGTCTGTCAAAAGATGGCTTTGTTTTAGCTTTTTTTTTTCTTTTCAAAGTATAAGCCCTGTTTAAATACAGTGGTACAGTAAAAGAAGTGGTTTAGGAGAAGATGGATGTCCTACAGGTCACCACTGTRCAGGGTGGTGAGTGCTCAAAGACCAACAGCCAGGGGCCAGGGACACCTGCTCCAACCCTCTGTGATTCTTATTCCACATATGCCATTCTCAAACAATGCTATTGGGCAACTGGTTTTGAAATCTTCGTGATCAAGTCTGTAACGTGAGAAAAGCCTTATGTAAGATAGGTTAGCAATGGTAGGGGCGTTCTAAAATAAATGAACATAGTTTCTTCAAGTTTTTCTGGGAATGGACTGCTAAGTCTGCAAGGAGGTAGAAGGCAGTTTCTCCTCATCCTTGGTTGTTTGATTTCCAAAACAATAATTCATCCCCTCGCCAAAGAGCACACCAAATGAATGCTCATTTTAACCACACAACAGTTTTTTTTTTCCTTTCTTTCTTTCTCCATCACATTAATGTCAGCAGAGGAATGTAGAGTAGGAGGAAAGCAGAGACAGAACCAGAGGAAAAACAAATCTCACCTCCCTATTAGTCTCCCTGCACTGCTGCCCAGTGAGTCTCACAGTTTATCCTGCCTGTAAGGTATGAGGTTGACTGTGCCAAAGCCAAATGAGCAGGAGAAAATTTAACTTACCTTTCTAAGCCTGATCAAATTGCTCTCCAGTTGACTTAACTAAAAATGTTCCACGGTGATCAAATAAGGTGCTTTGTCAAAGGTTACCTATGTTTTCTGTTTGTGTGTGTTTGTATTTCTCTCTCTTCCTCCCAACCAGAGATCCTGGTTCCTAGACTATAGCAGTCAGCTTAGCTAAAAGTGGCATCCACAAATGCCATGTCTTCCGCCTCCATTGCACTGAAGGAGGAAGGAAAGGAAGAGGGGAGAGAAAGCAACATACCGTGACAACTGTAAATTATTCAAGGAGATGGGGCAGGTATCAAAAGGAACTCTACACAAGCTCACATTTGTATGCTTATTAATGATAAACTTAACTATGTCATCCTTTAAGAAACCTGAGTTGATCTGGGTGGTAGCCACACTTCCTTCTTGGAGTTGATGAGCTGTGACTTATTCAATTAGCACATTGACTTCCAGATTATCTGTCTAGTGGAAGGAAGCAATGTGAGCACTGGGACTGGACATGGGC